AAATGTTAGCTATTATTGTGAATCCTTAAAGCACTTTTATCAATGTGATATCACTTCATTCTTTCTACTACTCTATGAAGTGTTTGTTATTCATTTTACAGATGAAGAAACAGAGGCTTAAAGTTGATCACGCACTAGGTCCCTCTGTAAATTGCTGAGGAACTGAATTCAGGTTTTACGCTTTTTAGCTTCAAATTCCAAGGGCTTTCTGATAGCCCACATACTCCCATTCTTGAATTCTAATGTTTCAGTCCCATATTTAAAAAAAAATCCTTGAGGATCCAAATTAAAAGCCAGTTGTTGTTGTTTTCTTTAAAGCCAGTTTTTTCAAATTTTTTTTGAAAAACGTAAGGGAACAGCCCAATAAGGGTGCAGCCATGGTCATTGGTTACACATTGCTTTCATGCTACAATGGCATAATTGACTCTTTTAAGGAGGGCACAGCTCACAGTGTCCCATGCGGGGATCGAACTGGCAACCTTGGTGTTATCAGCACCACGCTCTAACCAAGTGAGCTAACCGGTCACCCCTAAAAGCCAGTTTTAAATAACCCATACTCAAGAAGAGTGGAGGAGAGAAAGAGGAGGGGGGAAAAAGGGGGGTTGGATAATTAAATAATTTCTCTGGCTTAGAAATGATTTTGACCTAACACAACCCTCACAGATATACCTTCTTCCACCAGATGGTAAAATAAGTGTGTATCTCAGAGACGTCTCACTGGAAAAAATGGCAAGAAATTGCAGCTCAGGAGCATGTCGTGTAATGGGGAAGAAAGTCTGATCTTCTGCAGAGAATCCACCTACAGATAAAGATTTTGGAACAGGTCTAAATTGCTAGCCCTGACTACGGAAAGCCCAGAGCTGATCATTACTTTTCTCTGTAAGGCCTCAAGTGAAAGTTATAGGAGGGACCCAACTGTGCTACTGGTGAATGTCTGTCTCTGCCCTCAGTCCTGAAAGGACTCAGACCAGCCTATTTCACCCAGGTCAGGGAACAGGCCAGCCCAGTCCACAGTTCCTTCTAACTGGAAGTTTCCTAATTCTCTTTGTGGGAGGAGGCCTGGGAGGCCAGGGTGAGAGGTCAGGTAAACAGACCTGCATCTGTGGTCTGAGGGGAAGCACCTGCAGCAGCAGCAGCTGCCCTCTTGCTACCCATCCCCCTTGCTCAATCCTCCAGCTTCCAGAATGAGCTCAAACTCCTGCCCCCATCCCAGTTGTCCTGAGTTTGATAATCCCAATGGGATGTGGGCTGGGGAATCTAGAACGAAGATCTGGGGCTACTGGGTAACAATAAAGCCACAGGGGACAGGTAAATTCCCTGCTGCCTCACCCATCCTTTCTTTTTGGGGGCTTAATAAGGATCCTGGCCTTAGATCATAGCACACACAGAATAACATGACTGGAAGGAGAGTGTGGAGGGGTTTTGTTTCCTGGATTTGAATGGAAAGGTATGTGCGCATAAGGGCACAAACAGGTACTGGAATATGAATCTTTCATTATGGGGCACGTAAGGACTCAACACTGAACTGGGATCTTATGTCTCAGGAGTGTATTTGGCTGTAAGCAACAGAGACCCAGACTAATAATTAGGTAAATAAAAAGGGTTTATTTTCCCTCACATTACAAGAAGCAGGTTGGCACTGGTTTACCTGCTCCGTGATGCCACCAGGAACCCAGGTCTCTTTGCTCTGATATTCTTAGCATATTGGCCTTCATCCTTCTTGCCTCAAGGTCTCGAGAGGGTGAGAACTCCAGGGATCTCATCCACAGGGGAAAAGAAGATTATGTCTTCCCCTTTACCAAGAAAGCAAAAAATTCCCCACAAATTTTCTCCCCTCCAGTTTAAAAAAACACACCAAAACTGTAATGTCTTCACTACACGATGGAGCAAGTTCAACTAGTCATCTTCAACCAAACCCACCCTAGGCTCCGGGTGAGCCACCTTCTTGCACTGACTGGGGTTCCCCAGCTTATCCTGTAGCTCCTGCTCCCTTTGGGATTGATTATTTAGGTAATTAATTAGTAAGTTTGCAGGTCATTCGTTAGTGAGTTTGCAGTTAGTAACTTTTGTCCTCTATAATAGTAACTTTGTCAACACTTAGTGATAGTATGTGTTTTTTCACCTTTTTCCTTGATCCTATTTTGTGTTTCTACTTGTATTTTCATTAGCTTACTTTGGTTATAAACCACCTCAAAACTTTTTGGGAAAGAGGTGGGATAAAATAAAGTTTAAAATTACTTGGCGTGCATTAACTTAGCTAAACCTCGCAATAAGCTAGGAGGTTTGGTGTGATTATCCTTCTTCTATGTAAGTGTTCAGGGACTTGCCCAAGGGCACACACTGCTAAATGGTGAGCCAGGAGTCAGAGCCAGGTTTCAAAACCAAGGTCAGTCTGACACCAAACCTGAGGGATTTCCCCTAAGCCAATCCAAGCTGGTATGATAGATGCTTGGTTATGGTCAACTATTTGCTTGGCTAGTTGATGAGAGTTTTTGTGCCTTGAAATCCACAAATCAGCTTTGAGGGGGGGGGGGGGAAAAAGGTCTTTTCTTTTCTCCACAGACCATTTATCAGCAAATACTATACTTCATCAATTGTCAGCCACTCTATTGTTTTATGTACCACTAAGAAGAAAAAACACTAAACTATGACACACATGGAATTTAAGGTGCATGCCAATTTTACAGATGTTAAATGTAGAAAATGTGTGTCTTAAGAAGCAATGAAATAAGGTATTCTATTCTAGTAATGGAGAATGTGTGTATACATAACTTCCCTTTCTCATTTATTTCTTTGCTGACTGGTTTGCCCCTTCTTTTTCATCACCAAAACCTTGCCTGTCCCTTCCATGTCTCATTCTCCATATTGTCATGAACTGGTCAATATTGATTGGGACTATGAGTCCAAAGCCCGTGAGTCTCCAGAACGCCTTGCACTTATAGAAAGGCTCCACTTGAGTTTCTTTAAAGAGCCACACTGGATGGTCTCGTTATGAACTTCCTCCAAAGACTGTCAACAAATCCTTTTCAGAGTCTGGCCTGCCTAACTCTAGTCTTCCCATGGTACCTGGTGATTCACTACCCTCCCTGGTCACCATTCCAACACAGTAATTGGTTGGTTAGTCTGCATATTATTTATTTACAAGGGATTTCCCTACAGGCTGTTAGAGAGGGCATAGGCGGGGGCTTGGGAGCAGAAGCCGAGGCGTGTCATCCAGTTCTCCCAAATAAACGCAGGAAACATGACTTCCCCAAGGGTCTCCTGAAACACCAGGGCCTTCCCTTTCTCCACTGCAGGAGGAGGCAGGATGCAGGGAGGATTAAGCTTCTCCACCCCTCTTAGACTTGACTTCCCCTTCCTGGTGGAGGACTCCATGAGACAAGTTGTGAAGGGAAGATGGGGTAGTGGGATCTGGTACTGCTAGGGGGTGATAGAGGTTCTTGAGCAGTAAGCCCATGGCGGAGCTGGGTTACAGGCCTGACAGCAGCAGCTGGCTTTTCCAATTTGGTGTTTTGTTTCCTCGTTTGCGTGCACTGATGCTGGCTTTCCATTTCCTAGCATTAGAAAAGGGACAGATCCATCAAGGGAAGGAATTTCCCCCTCCTGTTCCCTTCCATCTGATTTTGAGGGCAGAATCTGAAAAGGAACAGAGGCTGATTGGAAAGGTTGGGGACACCAGTAGAGGGACAGATGCAGTCTATGCTGAGAACCAAGGGGCTAATCTGGGAATCCTATTGACAGAAGACTCTGGGGCCTTTGGAATGGGTGGGCAGGCCTATCCTTGCCCCAGCATTCTGGGTATGTGTCAGGCTGTGAGGCTTGGGCATGGACTGAGGTTCACATGGGTCTGTGTGCTATGGAGCTGAAGGATCCTCTGAGGAGGTACAGACAGACAGAGAAATAGAGGTAAGTGGAGACACAGGGAGTAGAGAGTCAGAGGCTGGGCAGGGACGTCTAGGCAGCTGAGGGGGCATCACCTTCTGAGTCACAGGGATCTGGGGCTCCAAGTGGAGCTTCAGAGACTAAAGCAGGCATTAGGCTTCCTCTTAAGCTCTCTGGGATCTCGGGGAGCTGCTGGCAGAGTCTTGGTCATCGCAGCAATTTCCCCAAGAGGCTCTGCCAAACCTGGCACCTTGGAGCCTCGGCCTCGACTTGGGTTGAGAGGCTGGCCCAGCACCTCGCCGCTGCCTGTACGACTCCAGGCCTCCTCCCTGTCGGAGCGCAGGGCCTGCCCTCACCTGTGACCCCCGCGGCCAACTCCAAGGCACGCTGCGGGGTCCAGCGCCCGCTGCTCGCTGCTTGCTAGGCCCCGACGAGCAGGGCCTGCTGAGCAGAGGGGCCGTGCCCAGACCAGGCCGTGCCGGCCGTCGCGACGGTGCCCAGAGCCCTATAGCAGGAGCGAGTGCTGGCCGAAGAGTGTAGGTGTGAGAATGTGTGCTGGGTATGGTCGGTAAACGGAGTGTGGGCCTGTGGGCGCGTTGGCACCTGCGACCGGGAAAGCGGGCTGGCGAAGAAACCGCGTGCACGGCTGGGAGCCCGGCTCCGACAGGGGTGTGTGCGGGCGGGCAGCCCGCGGCCAGAGCTCGGTGGAGGGCGGTGGTCTGGAAGTGGCCCCGGCCCGGGCAGGCCCTGCGGTGGAGCGCTCCAGGCGTGCCGTCCTGGATGTCGAGCCTCGGGTGGGATCCGCGCGGTGCGGCGGGGCTTTTCGCCCGCTCTTCCCGCCTCTCTAATCTAAACCATGCGGGCTCCCAGCCCCGGCCTGGGTGGCGGCCCGAGGGCCGCGGGGAGGGCATGGGGCCGCTCGGTTGGGGAGCCGACGGCCCGCTGGGGGCTCGAGGTCCAGGGGCAGCAGAGCCAGGGGATCCTGGAGGCCCCCTCCCCGGGAGGGGGGGGGCAGCAGGCGCAGACTGATTGACAGTGGCGACGTCAGAGGGGGGGTCGTCCCCGCAGGGAGGGACGGAGGAGGAGGGAGCTGAGGCCCCGAAGTGCAGCCTCGGAGATCAAGGGCCCGCTCCGGAGCCGGGATGTGTCCGGCCGCGAGGTCGCGGCGGACAGCGGGACGCTGACCCAGCGGCCCAGAGTCGGAGCCTCAGCTGTCCGGTGCTCCTCGGACCCGAGCCCGCGTGGACCTCGGGCCGCAGGCGCCTCCGCATGCTGCAGCGCAGTTAGGGTGAGTGTGGATGCCGGCGGGGATGAGGGTAAGCCAGGCGTGTGGGGCAGGGGCCACGCTGAGCCCAGCGTTAGGCTGCAGGGTCCAGGAGGATAAGCTGGAAAGGGGGAGAGTAACGGGATCGGGTAAGAACTTCGGGGAACGGTGAAGGCGACAGGAGAGCGGCGCCAAGTGCCTCTGATCTGGCTGCCGTCTCGGCCCCACTCCCAGCGGTTGGGGCGCGAGCCTTCCTCTCCTCGGAGTGACCGGACGAATTGGGTCTAGGGACCCAAGAGCATAGAGACGACTGCACCAGCTCCGAAGGAAGAAGAAGAGGTGGTCTTGAAATTGGTGTTTGCAGAATAAGAAAGGCCAAGGAAGAGGGCCGGGGTACTGGTGACGAATATCGATGTAGAAATGTGTGTGATCGGAACACTGGATTTCGGAGCCTTTGATGTAACAGGCTCCTTAAAATTAAGGCAAGGAACATTATATGTAAATAATGATCGATGGTCAAGAATTATCAGGACGTGAGCAAGCAATTACCAAAAAAACAAGGCTAAGCGGCATAACAAACACAACACTCAGACGTTAAAACAATAAAATAATAGTCACTTTGAGAGCCAAGTAAAAACTGTAACCACAAATTTAAAAGGATCATAGACGAAGAAACTCCAAATATAGGAACAATGTGATAAGATCCATTATATTAAGATCAATATCAAAAATATACGAAATAGTAATAGTGTAACAAATGATAAAAATGTAGGAAATTAGATGAACAGTGAAAAATGTGACTAAGGGAAATACTAATAATATAATTGACAGAATACTATCATATAATTTATTATTGATACTATAATGAATTATTAAAATCAATATTAACCAAAATCTTAAGAGCTGTAGTAATATAAATAAAGACAGCAACAAGAATTGCTGGAGAGATATGACAATTTATGACCAAGGTATTAATAGTTCCAACAACATTATAAATAATGGTAGAGTAATAAGAAGTATTGTACAGATGTGATGAAAAATAATCAGAGTATTAAGAGCTACAGCGATATTACAAATTATGACAAAGTAACAACAAGTAATGATGTGATGAAAAATAACTAGTGAATTAAGATCCATAGCATTACCAATAACGACAAAGTAACAAGATATTGTAACGATGTGATGAAGAATACTTGGAGTATTCTGAACAATCCTAAGGAAACAAATAATAGCAAAAACAACAGGAAGTATTATAAGGATGTAAGAAAATTCATGTGAACATCGAGAACAATAATATTACAAGTTATAGTAAATAAGTTATAAAACCTGTGACAAAGTACAAACAGAGACTGAGGAACCAGCAACGGAAACATTTTAGGGGTACAGAGTAAAAATAAAAATAATGCTAGATTAACATGACCCATTGGAACACTAGGCCCTAGAATGATGAAGCACTGACAGGAAAGCAACAACCACATATTTAATAATAATGAACTAATAAATCAAACCAGTACTTTTAACCATATAGCCTTTTTAAAAACAGTACTAATAATTTATGTGATTGGACAAATATTCTTAATGTTATTGAGCTGACCAGAATACTACTCTGATAATAAAGATAATTAAAATATAACAATTCCCCCAGTGCAAGAAAAATATCACCAGTAATCTAGAGTGAAAAGAAAAATGCTGTTCTCCTTAGGAAACGAGGAGGCTGAAAGCAACACACGCAGAGCCCGACCGCTGCGCCTGCGGAGGGTCCAAGGCAGGGGCGAGCGCGGGCGGCGGCAGACTCCGGCTGGGCGCGGGACCCGGCTGTGCCGAGGGGACCGCGGAGAGGGCCGCTCTGGGCCAGCCCGACGGGAAGAAAAGGAAATTATCCGGGAGGTCCAGCTAGGGCGAGCTGTGGCGATGTCGGGATGTGGCTCCCTGGCCGAGAGAAAAGGAAGAGGTGAACCCCGAGTTAGGGAAGGAGAGCAGGGCGAAGCCCTAGTCCCGAGTCGGAGCGGCGGGATTGGCCCGGAGCGCCAGCCGGACGGCGCCGCTGCACGGCTCCAGGTGTGACAAGTGTCTCACAGAGGACCTAGTGGCCAAGGCAGCATCGCGCCAGGCGGCCCCTCCTCCTGGCCCCGCGCGGGACGCCGCACCTTGGACCAGCCGATCGATCTCGGGCTCTCATTCCGGCCGACCCCAGATATACTCGAAACAAACGTCTTGGGACAAAGCGCACAATTACACTCGCTGCGCGGGGTCCCCTCGCCTGGGGGCTCCTGGGTTACCTAGTCTAGGCCCTGGAAACCGCACGTGGCCCAAGGCAGGTTCTGGCGGTGGCCATGCCGGGGCGAGCCTTGGTCCCTGCTGCCCGTGGCCGGAGGACCAGCCGGGCTGTCAGCCTTATCTTTACGGGCTTTTTCCCAGCCCCAACTGGCCCCAGCCCCTTTTTATCTCCTCGGTTGCACTTGGCTTATTTACTTTGTGAGGCCCTGGGAGCCGATGTCTAGGCCCTGGAATGGGGAAGCCAATGCTCGGAGGGGGAGAGGGACCTGGGCCTTGGGATGCCCAGAGAGATCCAGGGGTGAACAGAAAGCAGGTAGGAGGAGACAGGGGGGAACATTGCACTACAAGACACGCAGCCAGACATGTAGAAAACCCCACCAGAACTTGCCCAGATCCAGAAGAAGGGAGAAGAGCAGGGAGGTGGAAAAGAGAGGCAGAGATAATGCAGGTTTGCACCTATGATGAAAGCGGGAAAGGCAGGTCCTTGCAGGCCGGGCGCTCATCCTGATATATTCCAGGGCCACCTTCCAGAAGGGAGCAGGCACATGGGCAGGCCAGCGAATAGTTCTAGACACTTGGGGAAGGATAACTGTGCCCTGGGGCAGGACTAGGCTGTGCCTGTGAAAGCGACCCATCCAACCAGCTTGGTCCTTAGCTGAGAGGTCTGGGTCCTTTGCTCTAGAGCAGAGAGAGCCCTAAGGAACTAAAAGTGTGAGTGAGTGAGCCAGCGAGTATGAGGGCAAGGTTGGGGAGGACCCTGGCTGAGCTCAGGACCTGACACAGAGTGGCCTTAGGAGAGAGCGTGGCTGCGTGGATGACTAGGAAGGCTGTGTGGGGGTACTTTGGGTGTGAGGCTGTGTGTGCTTGCATGAGTTACACACCTGTGAGAGTGGGAATGTGCAGGAGAGAAAGCCTTTCCTTCAGGAAGTCTCTGACTGCTGTCTGAGAGGGGGTGAGGGCAGATGGGTAAGCAGGGGCTTGAGGGGCTGCCCAGCCCTAGACCGTTTCTACAGGTGTGGAGCCCCAGGAGCCTGGATGCTGTCCTCCTGGCCTGGTTCTCCTCTTCTGTCTGCTCAGTGTCCTGGCTGCCCTGGCCCAAGAGTGAGCCTGGACTCCAGTTATTAGGGAACAGGCGAAAAAGACTTAGGCCTCTGGCTCCACTGGAGCCCAGCAGGAGGGAGGGATTGGGGGTGCAGTTGGGGCAATGCCTAGAGGGCGGTCCTTCCCCCCAGACCTACTCATCATACAGACCCACAACCTGGGGCAGGCAGACTTTGCACCGCAGGCAGACCCTCCCAGGTCCAGAACCCAGAGGGAGGAGGCGAGGGTCTTGCCCTCCGCATATTTTCCCTCCCCCAGCTCAGGAGGGGGCGGGGTCCACGTGCGCCAGGGCTCAAAGCCACCCAGCTCGGCTCGAGAGGGCTGTGGGGCCTCTGGCCAGTGTGGACCTGGGCATGTGACTGGTGTGTGCTGTGCCCGCAGGAGATGCTGCAGGATAAGGGCCTGTCGGAGAGCGAGGAGGCCTTCCGGGCCACGGGCCCAGTGCTTGGCGGCGAGGCCAACGCCGCCAACGCCGCCAACGCCCCCGAGCCCGAGCTGGCCGCGCCGGGCCTCAGCGCAGCGGCGCTCGGCAGCCCCCCGGGCCCCGGCGCCGACGTCGCCGCCGTCGCGGAGCAGGTAGGGCCTCGCCGGCCGTCGGGCAGAGGTCGGGCGTCGGTCTGTCAGTCCGCTCCACTGCGGGCAGGACTCGCTTCCTGGGTGACCTAGCTGCGTCCTGGACTATCTGCCTGTTGATGCTCTCCGGCAAGGCTCGCTCTCTCTGCCTTTCGTTCTTCCTCCACTTGGATCCCTCAGGGCTACTCGGGGACAGGCGCGGGAGGGGACCCCGGCGGCATTTGAACGAGCTGGGTCAAGTGTCCAGCTCTGACAACCCTAAGAGGCCGGGTGGCGAAATCCTGGGACCGGGGGAAGAGTGGCCCCAGAGGGTCGGGTGTGTGTGTTTCGGGAGCCACCGCGAAGCTCCGAGGCCAGGGAGACGTCACCGAGGGGATCACGGTGATAACCTGATGACGACAACGGACAGAATCCTTTTGCGCACACCCTCGGCCTGTGCGGGTCTGCGTGCAATGTGTGCGGGTGCGCGCGCGCCTGGCCGAGGAAGTGCGTGTCCCTCCTGGGTCTGTGCGTCTGCCCGCCAGCCTGTGGCTATGTCTGGGCATGCGGAGTGTTTATGTTTGTCTAGGAGTGGGTCATCTACCCAGGCAAGTGAGTTTATGCATCCTCCGCCGGCCTAAGATAGGTGCAGCTCCGAAGGAGGGAGTTTCAGCCACGGATTACATTTTTAAAAATTCATCAGTGGTACAGAATAATGCCATGAAACGAAATCTTGAGGCGGTGGCTCCCGGGGCTGGCAGTGGTTCTGCATAGTTCCTTGGGTCTGTGTTCCTTCCGAGGGCTCCGCGTGGAGCCGTGGGCCAGGCCGACACAAGTGCCCCTCCCTCCCATCCCTAGACCATCGAGAACATCAAGGTGGGCCTGCACGAGAAGGAGCTCTGGAAGAAGTTCCACGAGGCGGGCACGGAGATGATCATCACCAAGGCGGGCAGGTCAGCACTGGGAGATTGATTTGGGGGGGATGACGGGTGGGAGCAATGGGGATCATCAGGGCTTCCCTTAGCAGTCTTATTGGGCGACTGGAGTTCCCTCCGCCACTCTGGCCTTAGCCCCTTGTCCTGTCACGACTTCGGACTGGGTTTTGGAAGTCCGCAGGGTGCTACCCTGAAAGGGAGCGCCCTGGATGGAAGGAAGAGAGGGCAGCACTATGTAAATGAAATGCAAATAAGGATGGCGACGCTGGAGGTCTCTGCTCTGGCACTTTTGGCCCTCTGGGGCTGCTTTGTCCTCCTCCTTTTGGGGACCTGCAGGGTTTCTCAGGATTGTATTGATTGGGGATCTGGAGATGTTCCTCAACAGATGGAGGAAGGGGACAGGACCATGTTTTCCTATTTCCATAACTTTTGGGGGGCAGAGCAAACCCCCAGTCTCTCATACCACCGGGCTGTTCCTCTGCTGCCAGCCTCCCCTTCTGCCCAGGGGAAGGCACCGTCGGGCTCTGTGTGTGTGTTGTTCGGGGAGCAGCACTCTGGTGGCTGCCAGAAGGGATGATTTATAAAGTGGAAACATCTTTAAAATGTGCTGGTGTCTGTGGGATAGAATCTGGAGGAGAGGGTGAGAGGAGGAAGATGCAGACAGGGAGGGCATGATGGAGAGATTTGCTGGGGAGGCGAGTCTGGGGTGGGGCAGCCATGGAACCGAGAGCGGTTATCAGGTGAAGGGAGATTGTTGCAGACAGAAGACAGAGAAACTGGAAAGTTCAGCTTCAAGAACCCCGTCATCCACCCCACTCTGCTCCTCCACGTACTCACACTTGATTTTGATTCCTGGGGGACAGGTTAGGTGTGAAACTGTCCCTTTGCCTGGCTGTGGGCCCATAACTGGGTTTTCTGAGGAATAAGATGGCGAAGCATCAAGGGCCAGGGATCTGGAGTCAGACCACAGGGGCTTCAGTTCCATCTGTGCAACCAATCCTCAGGCAAGGTACTTCGGGGTCTCTGCCTCGTTCTCATCTCCATCTGTAAAATAATAGGTCCTTCTTTATGCAGTTGTATGTAAAGCACTTAGCACAGCTCCTGGCACATGTAAGCACATAATAAATGCTAGCTATAATATTAATGTAATAAATGCTAGTAATATTAGTCATAGTTAGAGAAATGCCTGGCATCCACTCAGCATTTTTTCTTCCAGCTTTTAGAGAACTGCTTGGGGGAATGGTGGGCTAGTCAAAGGAAACAAAAAGATGGTGGCTTGCTGTGTGCAGTGTAGGGGTGCTGTGGTCCTTCCTGCCTGCTACTGGCAGGCCTTGCAAGATTTCCTTTGTGTGTGTGTGTGTGTGTGTGTGTGTGTTGGGGGGAGGGTTTGGGGGTCTGGGCACTGGGCTGCCCTCAAGCCTAAGTCAGGGTGGCAAGGCCACCCAGGATCTCTATCAGTAGGGGGAGCAGGGAATTGTCAGGGCTTGAGTTTGCTGCATTTTGGGGATGAGGAAGGAGGATGCATTGAGGGATCCTGACAGAGGATGCCATACGGAGTAATCACTGAGGACAGTGGGGAGCCAGGTGTCACAAGCACTGCCTCTTCCTAGCTGAGTATACCTGGACAAGGCCCTAAACCTCCTGTGGCTCAGTGGTATTAGGCAAAACAGAGATGGTGACTGTACACCTACCTACCATCCTTTCTTTTTCTGTTAGTTTGAGACTCAAACCAGGGATCATGTGAGCAGGGCATGGTAAATTGTTGAGTGGATTACAGGTGTGAAGAAGGGAAGATTTATTTCTTGTGACTGCTGGGGTAGACGGAAGGAAAGAAGACAGAGAAAGATCCAAAACTTACATTTTTAGGCAGCAGAAATAACCTTGTCTCTTAAAAATAAATGGCTAGCATGTTCTTTTGGGCATGCCTGGCCTCTGTGGTTTTAAACAAAAGGCATTTGTGGTTCTTCTCAGTGGGGTTTCCTGCATCTGCTTGAGTCCTCCTCCATCCCTGCCCCCAACACACACACACACACACACACACACACACACACACACGCACACGCACGCACACACGCACACGCGCGCCCACGCACACGCACACACACACACTTCCAGAGGTGACTGGCTTCAGACAGACATTTGTGCCTGATCCCACTGGAGGCTTAGAGATGGGCCTCAGGGAATGATGATAATAATTTAAAAATGGCTGGGATGTTGCTGGCCAATTGTGGAGTCATCACAGTCTTTCATTTCTCTGACAGAAAGTTATCCTTGCGCCACGTCTAGTCCTTAAGAACGTCACTAGCCTCGTTCTCCTCCCCCACAGTTCTCACCGACCATTTTTACTCCTGCATAGCTGCCCACTGACCTCACAGACCACTTTCACTGCTCTGATCTCTGTGCCCCCCCCTTCCCCCTGGGCAGCCTTGGTAGGCAGCTTGCTTTGCTTGGGTTTGTGGCTCTTCAACCTCCTGTCTAGCACTTCTTGTTCTCTTCTTTGTGTCTCTACCAGCACCCTTCCTGGGAAACTCCCATTTCTCAGCAGATGGCCTGGACCCTTCTCCTGAACCTTGACTCACAGATTCCTAGACTGTTAGAGCTGGAGGAGAACTGAGAGAACATAAACTCGACTCCAGAGAAGCGAAGGCACTTGGCTCTTGTAGATAGAAGCAAGGCTAGGCCCTTGCCAGGTCGACACAAGCCAAGCAGATGATATCCCACCCCCCACCCCACCCCCCGGAACAATACCCCAACTTTGAGACATTCCCTTGATGGTTCAGTGTTTTGAGCGAGGTTGTTGCTGTGCCCTAGAGACCCTGGTAGGTTAGGGGCAGGATAATTGCTGTCTGGTTAAGAGAAGGGCTGGTCTTGGAGAAGGAGAGGCAAGAATGTTCTCAAGCCAGTTTGACTTCTTGGGTCACATGCCTCTTGCCTTAAGCCCTTGAAGGTCAGAAGTCCAAAGTAGAAAAGAGTCCCCTTCCTTGAAAAGTGGCTTTGAATTCTCAAACAATTTACTCTGGTGAATAAAATGCCAACCACAGTGTGAGACGTCAATCTCTGAATGCTCAGGAAGCCCCTGGTGTCAGGTGTAAGATGGGGCCAGACTCCTGCCCTGCCAGCCTCTGTCCTCAGGCCCCTGCACCCAGGGGCTCTGTGCTGTGGAGTGCAGAGATCAGATCCTGCTCTCTGCCTCCTCACATCCCTGCCAAGCTTGATACATGTGAGAAACTGCATTTTCTTCCAAACACAGATAAAAGCGAGCTCCACAAAAATTTAAATATAAACCTCCCCGAAATGAAAATTTCCTAACCGTCTGACTGCTCTACTCCTAGGTCATGGTTGTGCCACCAGATAAATCTCCACTATCAGCCTTCATAGCCTGTTGAGTTCAATGTTGCTTGTGTTAGTGACAGTGAATTTGCGTTTGAAAAATGAACTACCGATGAGAACTCCTGTTGAACCTGTATTGTTTGTTATTCTGAGGCAAGGATTTGGCCCGGCTTAATCCGGGGCTTCAAAGCCAATTGCCCTCACTCTGTATACAGAGCGTCAGAGCCCAGTGGCGTGGGTGATAAGAGAAGTAAGGGTTGAAGACACTGGGAAAGTGGGTTGGGGAGAGAGTGCTTTGATCTCTTTCTAAAGTATTTTCTGAAAGCAAAAGTCTATCAGAAGGAAGTGTCTTAAAAAAAAAAATTCTAAGAGAAGCAACTGACTTTCCAAAACAGCATCCATTTCACACACCCTCACTCCTGCCCACCCCCCCACCTCAGGGAAAATATTTCTTTAAAATGCTTTGAGTGAATTAGACAACTGTGTGTGTGTGTGTGTGTGTGTGTGTAAGTGGAAATAAATTACGTAGCTTTGTTATTGCTCTCAGAAATCATTTGGCTACAAAAGATTTGATCTCAGTATAGGCAGCACTAGCAACCCCTGCCCCGGCACCCCCCACAACTGCCCTGCTCCCAAGCTCAGCCTTGGTTGCTGGGCCCTGGACTCTCCCCAACATATCCAGAATTCTTCCTCAAGACCCCCAGACACTAAGGGGTAGAAAGACCAGTGGAGTTTTCTGTGGACCCCCCTACCTTTTGCTTGCAGCCTGTTCCTTTGACTCTGGGCTCCACCGCGTGTGTACACATATATAATTTTTAATGTCAATTTTATTGAAGTGGAACATTCCTGCAGAAAAGTGAACAATTCTTAATTGTACAGCTCTATAGACTTTCGCAAAGTGAACACACCGGTGTGACCACCGCCCAGATAAACAGAACATTACCAGCCGCTAGAATCCTCCTTGTGTGCCCTCCCGGCCATCACCACACCCCCGTCGGAACCCCTTTACGGGCTTCTCACCCTTTCAGTTTGGTTTTGCACCTACATTTGAGGGACGGCAGGTATAGCTGCTCGTGGGGCCCCCCTCCCCAGGAAGTCGGAGCTGCGGTGGGCTTGGGGCTTGAGGGCACAGCTAAGTGGAGAGGACCTGGTGAGTCCCCTAGGTCCGTTATTCCGTCCCTCTGCGGGATTGGGGGGGGGAGGGAGGGAGGGAGGGACGGCGAGTAGGTCAGCGCCTTGAACTGGCGTCTCTCTGAGCCCCAGCTGTAACTTGCGTGTCCCCCCTCAGCAGCGGGTTTGTATTTACCGGTTTGCTGCCAAAATCAAACTGCCCCAAACCCTTGCTCCGTGCCCCGCAAGCCTCCCACACCGAGAAACGTCCAAGGAAGCTTATCTTAGCAGTTCATTCTAAAACCATTTCCGAGTATGAAGTAGATAAAGCCTCTGGCCCCGCACCCTTTCAGAGCCTGTTTCATGATCAGAGGAGAAACCCCGGGCTTTCATCTCCTCCCAGGGCCGGCGGGACAGGCGGCTTGTTTATTCCCCAGGCGGGGCCGTTTCCGTGTGTGCCAGGGAGCGCCCCGTCTGCCTGGGGGTCCGTGAGCCCGAGGGGGCGGAGAACTAGGAGAGCGCGGAGAGGGCGCCATGGGCTTAGAGAGAAGGCTAGGGACACGAGGGAAGGGTACCGAGGGGCGCAGGAGAGAGGATGGGGAGAGGGCTGGCGGGCTGAGGCGCTGGGTGCCTGGGACGGGCGAGCCAGGGCTTTACAGCCAGTGCTGGTGACAGGCCTGAGTGGGATACAGGCTGCTCGGAGTCATTACCTCCCTTCTTAGCCCTCCCTCTCCCTCCCACTGCGGTGTTCATTTCCGCCATAGGTGTTGGTTTTCAGGTGCATTTTATGTCCTAAATCACGGAAACAATTTACATCTCACTCCATGGGCTCATCTGTTTGAGTAGAGAGGACCTTTGCCGTGCAGGGTGAGCCTAGAGAAGTCACAGCTCCGGAACCCCGCCCAGCCTCTGGGGCTTGAGTCATGCCCACCTGGTGCGCATGCCCAGCCTCTGGCCACGTCTGGAACCAGGGGCAGATGCCCTCAGCTTGGTCAGGAGCCCGCCGGGTAGAGTGCGTGCTTCCCCTTCACACTTAGCCTGTTCTTTACACAGGGCAGCCTTTCATCTTTCTGGAGCCTTCTAGGTGGGGAAATGATTGTGCCCAGGGTCCCCACAGAGGGGGTGCCCAGAAGCAGTCACCAAACTGGACCCTGGCAGAGAAGGGGTTGGGAGAGGGGAGATATCTGTTTCCACAAGGCAATGGAGCTCACTGAGTCCCAGAGGCTTAGCCTTTTGAGGACTTTTGAACTCCGCATTTAGACCAGATATCTTTACCTCCCTCCCTGCTGCTAAGGGCTGCTGCCCTAGGAAGAGGCGAATGGGTGGGCAGGGAGGCAGAGTCTAAGAGACAACCCCTTCCCTGCCTCAGCTCCTACAAGACCTCCCAGAGGCTGTTATCAGTCAGGAATCTGGTCTACAGTCAGTTTCTAGGAGAAACCAAATCATAGGACACCAGCTCCGTGCCTTGGGCGTGCTGAGCACAGGCTCTTCACTGGCCTTCTACAAAGCACTTACTCCACATCAGCGTGGCCTCCTGAGCTGCTGAGATGAAGTATACTGGGGAGCAGGAGAAGAGGAAGGACAGTGCCCCTTCCCTCCTCTCAGCCTCGGCTACGAAGACTGTTGAAGTGGCAGCGAGCCATATTCTTCCGGCCCGCTTTGTGGACACTGGCCTGGGGGGAAGCCATGTCTGCCCTCTGCTGTTGCCATCTGGATTGATTATAGGAGAAACACGCTAAGTGCAGGGCACTGGTACCAGGCCAGCTCAAGCACAGACAGGGCTGCCCCATTTTGTGGCTGTTTCTGTAGCAGTTACAAAATGGTGGCCTGGAAGGGACAGGCTTTTTGGCCTTCCCCCAGGGAGGGGGGAGGTGAGGCAGCTGCTGCCTTCCCCTCCCTTCAGCTTTAGGCCCACCAGGGGAGAGGCTGGGCCAGGAAAGAGGGTGGTGCAGGCCCCAGCTGTGCCCTCAGGCCAGGCAGGGGGGCTGGTAAGCAGGAGGCAGGATTGGGTTCCTGAGCCCTCTCACTTCCCCCATTCCTGGAGAGGGGGTGGGGTGGACATTTGAAAATGCTTTCAATTGACATCTGAGACAAATTCTTCCACACGGTTTATAAGTCCCTAGACTTGCAGCTAGAACTTCCCTCCTCCCGCCAGGCACGCACACATGCGCACATGCGCACTCTACCGTGTACTCAATCACACGTGCTTGTGCAAACACATGGTCACACACCTCCCACGTCCCTGGCCCACTGCAGTGCTCTCACCCGCCTTCCCTCCAGCAAGAGAGAGGGGTGCACAGACTGGGCTGGGCTGGAGATGGAATGGAGCCCGCACCTCAGGGGGCTGGCCTGGGCGGGCTGTAGGTTCTACCAGCTTGTGGAAGCCTGGATCCCTCTGGAAGCCCTGCCCTGTCCAGGTAAGCTGGTACCTCTGTTGACAAAATGCGGGACTCCAATCATCTGTTGGAGGTGTGTAGGACCGCTTCTCTTGAGGGTCCCTGGACTGTCTCTCAGCTTAGTGAGAGCTTTCCTACAGCGGACTCAGGGGATTTGGTGCAGGAATCCCTTAGGGTCTTCAGTTAGGTTTGGATCCTGCCTCTCTCTGGGGGAACGCCTTTGTGGGAGCACATCTAGGAGGGAGTGGGGGTGTCTGAGGACGACTGTGAAGAAGTTCTGCCCACCCCCTCTGGGGAAGTCCGTTGTCAGGGATCTGGTGACCAGGGGAGGGAGCTGTGCCTCTGCAGGTGTGTGTACATGCTGTTGTATGCGTGTATGTGCTGAAGAGTCTGGGGAAGCCCTCCTCTAGAATGTTCTCTGAGCCTCAGGGTCCTGAATAGTCTCAGCATGGGCTGCAGGAACTGGAGACTTTCTGTCTTTTGGTGAATCCATTTTCATAGAGGTAGGTCATCCCATTGGTTTGTGGAGAGAGGAGTGCATGGGGGTCAGTGGGAAATGGTCATAAATGGACTCATTTAATCCACACGGCAACCTATAAGATAGGTAGTAATATCTGCATTTTAGAGATAAGATAACCAAGTCACAGAGCGATCCAAGGGAGTTGCCCAAGGCCTGCCAGAAACCACGCAGTTCTCCGCGAGGCTCCTGACTGACTCCCCCTGACACTCAGTTAGTGTGAGCAGGCCTCTGTGAGGCGTTCATTCACAGAGGTAAGCACCTCAGCCAAACACACCCAAGGAATCTAAAGACCTAGCAGCACTCTCCTGTTTTCTGTGAGTTGCTTTGAGGCCTGAGGGTTTTCACAGGGACATAACCCAGAGGAGACATCTCATTGATTATGGAAGCAGCTGACAGAGACTTCCAGGTCTTCTGCTCTGGCACCCTGCAATGGCACCCCAGAACTTGAGCTGTGTATGGACTGGCAAAGGAGTGGGGGGAAATTAAGGCAGACAGGATAGTATCAAAATCCTCTCTCATGATCTTGACCAAGGTCTCGATGCTTTAGCTTCTTACAGCCACTTGGCCTAAATCTTAGGGGGTCATGGGGAAGGGGGAATTGAATTTGGAAAACTATAAACGCTTTTCCTAGACACACAGCCTGACAGCTGCAGGGGTTCAGAGAGAGCAGCTAGTGTAGCCCTCTCCTTGTGTAGAGGGAGGCTGAGGCCAGAGAAGGAAATGACTTAACACAAGATCACACAGCTCTGACCACTCAAGGTCACACAGCTCTGACGGCTCCTCCGCTTCACCCCTTGGCTTCCCCCAGGAGGATGTTCCCCAGCTACAAGGTAAAAGTCACAGGCATGAACCCAAAGACCAAGTACATCCTGCTGATCGACATTGTTCCTGCGGATGACCACCGCTACAAGTTCTGTGACAACAAATGGTAAGAACCTGGAACCCTCCCAGCACCCGCACTGCCATCACTGCTCTCTCTACTCACCACACCCACCTGATGTTTGGTCCAGGGCCTGACCAGTTAGTCCGAGTGATTTGCCCAGAGGCCGCAGGGTCTGCAAATGACTGCACCGCTGCTGCAGGCGGGGCTGGGGCTGAAAAGGAGCTGCCGTGTTTGGGTGTTTGGTGAATTTCAAGGGTCTGTGCTCTCCCCACAGCCATGGACAAACAGAATTAGTGACTGTGCTCGGGGTGCCAGATGAACCTCCCGCCCTGGGAGGAGTTAGGCTCTGGCAGTGCTGGACCAGGGAGGAGGATGAGAGCCGTTTTCTTGGGGGTCCAGCCACCTGGTCTGTGTGCCTCTCTTCTGTTTCTCCATTCGCTTCATCTTCGTCTGACAGCAGAGGCCTCCCTCTTACCCTGTGTGTCCACCATCCAGAGTGAGTGGGCCGCTGCCAGGTGGCTGAGAGATGGGACCCTTTGGCAAAGGGCAGGGGGAAACGGGCAGGTTGAAGGGCAAAACCAAGCTGGGCTGGGTAAAGAAACACTGGGCTCCTTTTCCTGAGGCCATGTCCTTGGTGCCCTGCCTGCCCCCAGAGCCCAGGACAGCACTCAAGGAGAGAGAGGGTTTGAATTGAATGAATCTGCAGTCTCTGGATGTGGGCTCCAGGAGGGGGAGGGGAGGGCATAGGGCCGGCAGAGACCAGGCCAAGGAGGCAGGATTCGGCGGCCAGGTCCCGCCAAGAGCCATGTTTCTATTTCTTCTCTCTCTGGGCTGGATCAGCTCTCAGAGCAGGCTTTGGCTGAGGGCACAGCTACCAATTAAATTTTTTTTTTCCGGGGGACAAGCACTGTTTTGGGGGCAAGAAATTTGAAAGTTGTCTAGGTCCTCTGAGAAGCTCCTTTCAAGTAATATAATTTATAACATTTAAAACTGTAAATATAACACACACAGAAGTGCTGCCTAAATCTCCCCACAACATATTTGTGGTGAGCCCCATTCCTTCAAGTAAGTAATCACATTGCCCTGTAGTCTCACTTTTTCTTCCTCTCATCTGTCCCTCACCGCTACTCCCAAAGTCCTATATTGTCAGTGCGCCAGGATGGACCAGCCGTGGTTTTTCCTCAGGTCTACAGGGATTTGCTCTCAGAGGGGACAGGGCATCTGGGCTTCCCCCGACCCCAGGGTTATCAACTGCTATGGCTGCTTCTGATCTGTTGGCAGGATGGTGGCAGGGAAGGCTGAGCCCGCCATGCCAGGAAGGCTCTATGTCCACCCGGATTCTCCCGCCACCGGGGCCCACTGGATGCGGCAGCTGGTCTCCTTCCAGAAGCTGAAGCTGACAAACAATCACCTGGACCCTTTCGGCCATGTAAGGATGGGACTGCACGGCCTCGAGGGCCCGTCCTGGGGCCGTGTTGCGGGTGGATGGGTCGGGTGGGGACCTGGAGAATCCACTCTCAGGATCCAGCTCCAGGCTTTGGCACTTGCCAGGCCCCTTTGTAGAAGGAGCCTTGGCAGGGTCTGGATGTCACAGCTGTGCACCCTTCCCCTAGCACTTACTGGCTGGGGAGCTTTGGGCACATTTCTTAGCCTCTTAGAGCCTTAGTTTCCTTGTCTAGAAAATGGAGATGATTATACGTACCTTTCATAGTTTGAGAATTCAATGAGAGACTATGCAGGAAGCACCTTGCCCATAGGAGGCTCTAAATACATGGCAACTGTGACAACAAAGATGATGAATGATGGGTCACATCTCTCAGTTTCAGTGTCTCCAAATTTGCCCTCGCTGGAGCATAAGACAAGTAAACTTTCTTGAGAAGGATTCATGAGTCTGAAGCCTCTCTTTGGCATGTCCGCCTGCCTGGCCTGGCAGCCGCTTGCCCTCTGGAAGGGTCGGCTTTGATCTGGCTCTGGTGTCAGCTCCTTGTTGGCCCTGCCTGGGACCTGGCTCTCACAGAGATCCTGAGGCCTCAGAGATGTTGCTGCTGACGCCCCGTCCAGGCTGCTGAAGCTTATTCTTTTCCCATCTGGCCCTGGCATGCCCACAGAAAGCTTTTTATGTGGAAATTTTTAGCTCAAGTGTGCGGGACTAAGTGGGGACCTGGTGTTATCTGCCAGGGCACAGGCCCTGCCTCTCTAGGCTTTCCATACTTACCCTGGAAGTGCTGGGTGTGGGGGGGGGCTATGGTGCTGTAGAGGCTCCTACACAGGCTGCATACATAGCGCTCAGGTGCGGGTGGTGGTGGGTGTGCAGGTATGTGCTTCTTTAATGCCTCAGTTCTATTTCTGGGGATCTGCATGCAAATCAGGATTCTGTGAATCACAGTTCCTCATGGCAAATGCCAACAATGCTTCATTTCTGATTGACTGGTATGTAACTAGCAAGCAGCTCTAGATTCTAATGTTCTCAGAGCCTGTTCAGTTTTCATCTGACTTGCTGGTGATCTCTAAACAAGCAAGCAGGATAATGCTTAATGAACACAATGAACTCCTAATTTATCTGTTTTGCAAGCAGTACGGGTTTTCCCATGTGGGCTGTGAAACCAACCCAGATGCTGCTGGGTGTGCAGCAGAGACGGGCCGGGGCAGTGTGCACAGTGGCATGTACTCGTGCAACCCCAATCTGTCACAGGGGCAGAGACAAGCCACCAACCCAATGGGAAGGGCCAACTAAGCCCCTACCTCCCAGCACACAGGGCTTTTTAACTGAGGGGAGAGGGGCCCCCCAGGTATTCCTGGGCACCATCCTGGCCTAGACTTTGCACCCAGTTGGCTCCTCTCTGGCCTCCTCTGCTTGGCCAGGCTGTGGCACCAGCCTTGGAAGATTAGTGAGGGCTTCTGTGGTGGGAGGCAGGGAACTGAGGTAACAGGCACACCTCTGCCCACAACTGTATACACAGGCAGACCCCCTGGGACAGACCCCTGGGATGAGCACAGAGCTTGGCAGGAGCTGCATCTTTGGGTGAGTGACCAGAAGTATCCAGGATCCAAGCTCTGGTGAGGATTCTGGGTGCATAGCCTGCCATCATGGTTCCCAGCTGCAGGGGTGCCTCAGGGGACTCTTCCTTCTCCTTGACCCTCTGCCAACAGTGGCAGGGGAGGGAGTCAAGTGGCTGAAAACCTGGGCTTTTTAGGAGTGAGAGAGAGACCTAGCCTTGGTAGCCTAATAGTAGGTTTCCCCAGCATGGCTTGCCTCTTTGGTGGCTCTACTAGGGTCCATTAGGGGTTTGCACTAACCCTGCATATAGTCTTGGGTCTGGGCCAGTGGGGCTGTTTGATGGGCTCATGATTGGGGTGCCCCTGGCTACATTGCCATGCCTGCCTAGGGCTCACCTCTCCTCGGCAGTAGGGATACTCCCCATACTAACTCAGCTTTCTCTCTGGAGGGTTGAATGCAGAGAATCTTACCTTCTCCTCCAATCCTACATTTACCCAGCACGTGTGCAAATATTGGTTACAATACGCCCTGTGGGGTGGCAGGACTCAGGGAGACCAGGTTATTGTCTCAGGAGCTGGGGGCAATGCTTGGACCCATACCTCTTGATTTCAGTTCCAGCACTCATTTGGTTTCTCCTCTAGCCTTTCTGTACCCAGGGCTTGAGCTATCACATCTTCAGCTATTTGGAGCATCAGTGGAGAGGGAGCAGCTTTTGACCATGCAGGCAAGGGCTGTGGAGGGTGAGCTAATTTCCTAGACATTTCAGAGCAAAATGACCCATTTGGACTTTGGCTCTCTGTTCCTTGGCCTGCGCCCATGGCAATGGTGAGCTCTCCAAGTCACCTTTCTTGGCTTCTCAGTGCAGGAGCCTGGGAACGTGCCATCTCGCACTGTGAACTTGCCTCAAACAAGCCCTTCCTTCTGCATAACTCACCTCTACATTTTCAATTTTCTCCAAGAGCTTCCAAACCTCAAATAAATTTCTCCAGCCAGATGGACTTTGGACTTTTCCTTTGGGTCTCACTCACAGTATCTCAGGGACTTTAGCAGCTGCCTCTCGTTTGCAGCCTTTCCCTTGCTGTGAGTCCGGGAAAAATCTCTGCTCTTGAGGGGGTAGCAGGGTCAGGTGGGCAGCAGGGACAGAAAAGATCAGGGGGCGAGGGCAGGACTCAGCTGCCTTCTTACAGCCCCAGTTCAGCTCCACTTCTCTGGGTCTGCTGGCTACGGAGGCTGTGTGTCCATCATCCGTTCCTACTTGCCACCCTGACCTGCGTCCCACACGAGGGTCCTCTGCCAGGCCACCCTGTGGTGGAAAGATGAGCTGCTTCCAGAAGTTGATGAGCGCCTCACTGAGGTCGGGCCTGTGTCCTGCGGCAGGATGTGGAGATGGCTGGCATGTAGGTCTGACTTTTCTTGTGTCTCAGGACTCCCAGATTGCTGAGGAGGAAGGTCCAGTTATGACTTCTGACATAGTGAGTCTGTTCTAGAGGCTGAGTTCTCCCCAGGATGGGAGTGTGGGCTCCTCCTCCACAAAGTGATGTGTATAGTCCCTCAGTGAGCTACTTGCTCCTCTGGACACCCAGTTAGTTACTCCTGAGCCTTGGGACTCAAACTCAAATGCCACTTTTTCAGGGTGACAGTTCAGGGTCCCCACTATAGGCTCTCAGAGCGTCATGCACTTTTCCGTCCCAGTACTTACCACAGTTACAATTTTATATTTACTTGTCAAATTTGTTTTTGACTAGGAAATGCATTCACATGGTGTAAACGTAAACCAATGAATAAATAAACATGTCTACAATGAGATGTCTCTCTCCATGGGTTCCCCATCCACCTAGCTTCCTCCAACCCCGGCCACAGGTAACCAATGTTACTAATTCTTTTCAGCATTTCTTTGGGCATATGCAAGCAGAATCTCGAATCTCTTCTTTTAGACACAAAGGTGGCATACTATAAACACTTTTTTGCACCTTGCTTTGTCAACCGAGTATGTCATGGAGATCATCCCATTGATGTTCTCATTCTTTTTTTCACAGTTGCATAGCATTTCATCGCATGATTGTTCCATAAATTATGGAGCCAGTCCTTATTGAAGGAATTAGATTTTTCCTATTTTGCTCTTTCGATTAAGCTTGTGTGTATGTCATTTTATACCTTGGCCAAGTACATCTGTGAAGTGAAGTGCCTGTTCAGAGTGTATTTGGGTTTGTCATTTGTAATTCTGCCCTCCATTGAAGTTGCGCTAATGGATAACCCTTCCATCACTGTAGGCTCACCAACACGGAGGGAGAGGAGTTTTGGATTTTTGCCAGTCTGATGGATAAAATGTAGATATCAAATTTAGTTTTAATTTGTATTTCCTTTATTATGAATAAGGTTAAGCATCTTTTTAATATATATTTCCCCTTTCTGTGAACTGCTATACTTATCCTTTGCTCATTTTTCTCTTAGATTTTTGATCACTTATCAATTCTAAGAGCTTTTATAAATTAGGAGGATTTAGCTCCTATCTGTGATGAGTAGCTCATATGTTTTCGCAGTTCATCATTTGTCTTTGGATTTTGCCTATAGTGGTATTCCTACACAGCATTTTTTGATTGAATGTATTGGTCTTTTCCTTACAGATTTTACATTTTGAGTAATGGAAAGCCCTCATCCACGCCTTACTTATAAGGGAATTTTCTTCTGTTTTCTTTTAGTATGTTATGGATTTACTTTTACATTTAAGCCATTGATTCTTTTGGAATTTATTCTGGCACTTGATATGAGGTGTGAATCCAACTTTTTTATTTTTATTTTACTAGAATGCTAGCTAGTTGTCCCAACACCAGTAAATTGACTCATCATCTTCCCTCCCTGGTTTAGGATGTCTTATTTCTGTATACTAAATCTTCAATTGAATTTGTGTCTGTTCATGTGCCAGCGTCTTAACTGTTGAGACTTTACAATAGGTTTTAGTGCCTGGCAGGGCTGGTGTCTCTCATAGCTCTTCTTCAGTTTTCTTGGCTGGACTTGTGTATTTTTTCATATGAACCTTAGAATAAGCTTGCAGTGTTGAGGCATAAACTTATGTTTATTTTAATGAAACTTTTGGGTAACATTGGGGTAACATTGGTTAATAACATTATGTAAGTTTCAGGCATACAACTTGATAATACATCTGTCTATTCTATTGTGTGCTCACCACCCAAAGTCTAGTCTCCTGCTGTCCCCGTATATATTGGGTTGTCAGAAAAGTCATGACATATTTTTTCTATGTTTTGCGTTGCAAAAATGCGTCAGGACTTTTCTGACAACCCAATATTTGACCCCCTTTTACCCTCTATGTCCTCACCCCACTCCCCTTCCCTGCATTTTTATTAGAATCACTATAAATGATACACTGACATAGGGAGATTGATAGCAATGCCTCTGTCTTTGTTGATATCTGCTTTTTGTCCTCCAAAAGTGTATTCAAGTTTTTTTTCCTAAGGTCCCACACATTTCTCATTTGGTATTTCATCTTGTTTGTTACTATTATAAATGCAGTCTTTCTTTCTCTATGTTTTCTCACCATTTATTTTTGCTCGATTTTGGATTACTGTGGGGATTTGACTTCCCCACTACTAGTTAGGAAACCATGAGGTTTTTAATCTCCAAGACACCCTCGTGCCTGGCACCACGTCTGGCAGAACAGTGGGTGCTGGTAAGTGAATGAGTGGGCTCACTGAAGGGCATGGTATTTAGACAGACAATGCACTTCTTCCATGAGGGGCTGGCATCCCCCCAAAGCTTATGCTGTTAACTTGCCAGTGGGGACCCAGAGCTATTGATCGCCCTCTTTCCCCCTTTTTCTTCCCTGTTTGCTGAGCTCTAATAATGTGTCAAGTCCTTTCTGGTGGCTTTGGGAGCTACAGATGCCCCACGCAACTCCAGATCAGGCCCCGCCCTCACCAGCCAGGTACAGGTATCAGCTCAGGCTTGGAAATGAGTATCAATTCTGGCTCTGCCTCCCATCAGCTGTCTGAGCTCGGGTAAATGCCTTCACCTCCCTGAGCCTCAGTCCCTTGTCAGTTAAAATGGGGCTAATAATAGTGCCTACTTTACAGGGACGTTGTAAAGATGAATTATAGAAAGTGTGTGGAATCCTCAGCACAAGGCCTGGCATGTAGGAAAAGCTCAGTAAACGGCCATTACTGCTGTGGCTGTGAGCGAAGACAAGACCATTTCTGGGCCCCTAGGTGATTGTTGTGGAAGCGACTCCCAACGTCAAGAGCTGACCCTTGAACCATACGGTTTCAATCGCGTGGGTCAATTGAAAAAAAAATCCGTGGATAAGTGGATCCACACCGTTCAAAGCGTGTTGTTCAAGGGCCCACTGCAATTACTGAGCTTGTTGTTGAGGGCAGCGTGTACTCTCTCTACGGCCATCTGGAATCGTCTCAGGAGTCTGTCTGCGACCAGCTGTGTGTCCTTGGGCAGGTCACATTCCCACTCCAGGCCCTCTGTTCCTCATCTGTAAGACTGGGAGGTTGGACTAGCATGATCTCTGCCGCCTGCCTCTCCTTGCCCCGATGTTCTGTGTTTCTAATGTAGATGGATCTGGGCCTCATTGGCCAAGCACACTATGGTGATCTCTTGAGGAGATGGATGTTTGGCGCTATCGCAATTGTTAAAATAGAACAGGCTTCTGAGCTGTAGCCAGAACATAATGAATCCCATTTCTATAAAGCAATGATGATGACGAGACCAGTCGTGTAGTGGGGTTTGTTGACGTGGCTGGCCCATTTGGCCCAATATCCTCTGCAACAAATATAAATTGTGAGACTCTGGCAAAGTAGTTTCATGTGACGCCTGAGGAACTTCCGAGTAAAGCCAGGTGTGTGAGTCACTGGGTTGGTTTCATGTTCTCCCTGGCTGATGGGACTGAGGCTCCAATTTATATTTGCGTTGGTTCAATGGGTGGGACTTTCTTCCAGACGATGGCTTCACTTTACAGATGGGGACCCTAATGGCTGGAGGGGAAGAGCTTGCTCAAGACTTGCAGCTGGTGAGCAGGTAGCCACAGAAGCTTCTGGGCCCTTCTTCACTTCTCTGTGGCTGGGACCACACTCCTCTGGTGGCTCCTAACTACCCCTGCTGGTCTGGCAGTTCCTTCCTTCCTAGGTTTCCCTGCCAGCCTGTCTGGTTCTCTTCCCTAGAAGGTGTGTCTGACAATTGAGGACTTTGTCTGATGGGATAAGGAGTATGGCCTTTATCCCAAGGGGCAAGAGTGAACCATCAAAGGTGGCATTATGAATCTAAGACGTTTATTGAGCCTGAAATGCTGGCAGGAGTGGTGGTCGTGGGGGACGTGGGAGGCAAGAGGAGAAAATACAAAGGGCCCTGCTCTCAAGCAACGTATGGGCTTCCTGGAGGAACCGTAAGGTTTGAAGCAGGGGAGTGACCTGAATGGATGTGTATCAGGTGAAATGGAGAAGTAGATGGAGACAGGGAGGAGGCTGTCCCCAAATCCAGCGAAAGACAGTGGAGTCTGAACCAGGGCTGCACAGTGGGAACGGAGAGGCTTTTGTTTTACAGATTGAGTTGCAGGACTTAGTCATGGACTGGACCTGGAGCTGGGTGACAGTGAGGAGAAGGGGTGGTGATGATGCCCAGGGCTCTGGCTGGACTAGTACAGCCTGTGAGTAGTGGCAGAGGAACAGGGTGGTGCTGCTGTTGGTCTAAGGCGTCCTTACGGGATGGCACAGGGTCACTGTGAGGTGCCTGTGGCATCTGCTTAGGGTCCTGTCAGCCCATTGTCTGTGTTCTCCCCCTGTGCCCCCTTTCTTAGGAGAGCCAGAGTGACCAGGGGCTAGTCCTGCATGCTGGGGAGCTGGAGCATGTGAGTCACAAAAAGACTGTCTGTACACCTTTTTTGTCACTATTTTTGACGTGGAAAATGTCTTAGAGGTTATCTTGTCTCTAGTGAGCAAAGAGAGAAGAGAGGAGGAGGCAGCGTTTGTGGTCATGGCCCAGGTCTTCCCTCTCCCGCAGCCGTTCCTTGCATTTACTAGTTCTTATTTTGGGGTAAAAGATCCTGGAGGTACAAAAGGAAGAAAACGCGTGGCCCATTTTCTTGAGGAGCTTATAGTTTAACTGAAGGGACAAGAATAAGTAGGAAATCACTTGGAAGCCGCACCACAGCCAAATAGATCATGCACGGGAAGTTTCAGAATGGGGAGTTCAGGGCAGGTCCTGGTAATCTGGGAAGGCTTCCTGGAAGAGTTGGGCCTTGAGGTGACAGGCCTAGAAGGTGAGAGAATGGGAAAGGAAGATACAAACAGCAGAGGGAAGTGCATGTGTAAAGGTGCAAAGGTAGGAATCTGGGGACTCCTGGAGGAATCTGCGGACTCCTGGAGGCATCTGGGCCACTTCCCAGGTATTCAGCTGCTGGGTATTCTGGGAACTTAGTTTTTTTTTTTTTTTTTTTTTTGCTACTGCAGCTTGTGGGAACAATGCAGGGTGACAGAGTCACCTAAAGGGACTGGGAAGTGTTTCCCAAGACCCCGGTCCTTTCCCTAGGGGACCCTTCCCAGCATCCTGGAAAGGGATGTCCATTGAGCCCCCCCCCGCCCCCCCCCACCCCACCACAGAAGGACCTGCATGCTCCAGTCTCTGTTTTTTGTCTGGTAGGCCCCCAGTTGGCCAATGGGTTTCCAGCTGCAGGACCTGGTTTGGGGTGCGGGAAGCTCTGTACTTGCCCCAAGAAAGTCCAGAGACTTGTCACTGAGGGCTAAGGGGGTAGTGACCAGTGCAGAAGGCAGAAAAGCAAGTTCCTGCTGGATGTTGCTACCCAGCCCAACCCAGGAGCCCGCGGAAGGCCAAAGCCTGCAGCCTAGCTCTTGGCCCACCCACTTCCACAGCTGAACCTGTGGTCTGGGCTCTCCCTGTCCCCAGGGTGTGATGAGAGCGGAGCTTTCCCAGACTAAGGCTTCTGCCCAGGCTTGGCATGGAAGAGCCTGGCTCTGGCCCTTCGCTTGGCATCCGGGTCAGGCAAGGGTTAAATCTTTCACAAAGTTCCAGCACCAGGCCTGGTCCCTGGGAACCGGGAAGGCTGGGAGCTGGCAGGGCCAGGGAAGGGGCACTTCCAGACAGGAGAGAAAGGAAAGGAGCTCAGAGGGGACCAGGACCTGGAGGTGAGTGGAGCCCGGCCAGGGCAGGAGCCAAAGGGTTAACAAAAGCAGCAGTGCTGATAAAATGCCCCAAATTCCTGGTCCTGCCTCCAATGGGGAGGGAGTCTGGCAAATGTCAACGATAAAAAGTACATTTTAATGGCACATGATGCAGCCGCTACTGTGGGGCGCAGCCGAGTGAAGCCGGTTTGGAGCAGCGACTGCTGTGTGTTACTCCAGGGGCCCCAGGGCCACGCCTCATGGGCCCCTTCCCAAGTTTTGCCACCAGGGTGACCCACCTCCCCAGCCCCAGGAATCCTCAAGGTCCCCTGAGTGATTGGGGCCTCTGATGTTATTTTAGGAACTTTGCTTGTCTCCTATCGTGGTACCTGGAACTCTAGCCGGTGATGGATAGTCCCTCCAGGCAGTGAGCTGCCTCAGGCAGGTCTCAGGGAAGGCGGCATCTTGGTCTCCTAGCATACCCACAGCAGGCCTCTGTGACTGCTGAGAAACACAGGAATAAATGAGTGACTGGATGACAAAGAATGCAACATTTTCCTCAGCTTCTCTCCCTCCCCCATTCCGCAAACTCCTGGGCTATGAAGCAGCTTTTTTATGCTGACCAACGTGAGAGGAGAGGGCTCAGTGCCCACAGTGGGCATTTCTAGGGAAGGCACGTGGCAGGTAAGCCGTGGGGAGGAGGTGAGCAGGGGGAGAAGAGGCAGAGGAGGAGAGGGAGAAGGGAAGAGTCAGCCTGGGGGCGGGGGCGGGATCCTGAGGCAGGTAAGTTAGGTATTATGATCCCATTTTACAAATATGAAAACTGAGGCTCAGAGATGTCCAGTGACCTGCTTGAGGTCAGACGGTGAGTCTGTGGCACCCTGGACCTCTGCATACAGCTCAGAATTCCACCTGCTACACGGTGCTGAGTTCACCGGGAGCTTTAAACTGTTAAGTCCTCCATGACCACCGTGAAACAATCTGCGACATCAGGGAGGTAGGTCCTGGGACCAGGTGTTGGAGCTGGAGCAGAGAGGCGAGGGAGGGGCCATGGGGGCTGAGTTTGGGGCCCGGGGGCCTGGTTCTTCACATGGGAACTTTAGGACCTTTCTGGGCTCAGGCTCTGGAGCCTGGGCTTTTAGGAGATGAAAGCCAGCCCAGGGTGGGGACCTGGAGCTCAGAATGAGACCCTTCTCTTCCAGATCATTCTCAACTCCATGCACAAGTACCAGCCACGGCTGCACATTGTGAAGGCTGATGAGAACAACGCTTTCGGCTCCAAGAACACAGCCTTCTGCACCCATGTGTTTCCGGAGACTTCCTTCATCTCTGTGACCTCCTACCAGAACCACAAGGTACCGCTGCAGCCCCCGCGGCCCCCACCACTGACACCACAGAGTCAGGAAGTGGCGCTCCGGAAGCAGCAGGCAGCAAGGCAGGCCCAGGGCAGGGACCCCAGAACCTGCGGTGTCCCCGAGAGCAGCGAGACTTGACACCATGAGCAGAAAAGGAGGCCCGACTCTGAAATCTCCGATGCAGAGTAATCGCGGTGTCTGTGTTGGGGACTAGACTTGGAGACTGTGAAAACTGGGAGAGTGGAACTTGCCCTGTGGCTCAAGTGTTAGGCCCTTTTGTCTACACTCTTCTCCCTGGTGGGATTCAAAGGTCGGGTTCTGGGCCTGTGGATAGAGGGGCGGGGAATGGGGAGAGGAGCCCTGGGGTATGGTCAGCTACGTGGGAGCAAGGAGACAGACCCATCTGGAGGCCCTTCCCGAGCTGTGGTCCGAGGGGCCTGGAGTGTCCAGGCCGCCTCCTGCCCCACTACTCACCCTCCCCAGCCCGACCAAACTGCCTCCGGATCCCTGCACAGGCCGCTCCCCTGCCTGCCTGTCTTTGCCCGTGATACCCTTTTCAGGGTGCTTTTTGCATTGTGCACTTTGGGACAATTGAGGTGGATGGGGGTCAGTGGGGAAGGGCCACAGGCTATGGCAGATTTTATGCAGAAGAGTGACAGAGTCAGATTTGCATTTAGAACAGTCACTTAGAACCTGCTGTGGCAGTTACACTGGACAGGGGTGGCATGGACAGGAAGCTGTTACGGACACCCAGGAGAGAATGATGAGGAACTGAGTACAGTGGGAGCAGGAGACAAAATTGAGGGTCTGCAGCAAGTATCAATAGAATGGGTGAGAGCCAGCGACAAGCCAGATGTGAATAATGAGGCCAAGCAAGGCTCCTGGGGGCCCCAGGGCTGGGTTGTGCAGCTCTCCCAGACCCGCCGTGAGTTTTGAATGTGCCTGGGGTGGGGGAGGAGGGCCAGAGGCCAGCCCAAGCCTCTCCCCCAGCGACTCTCCTGTATGTCTTCTCCTGACAGATCACACAGCTGAAAATTGAGAACAACCCTTTTGCTAAGGGATTCCGGGGCAGTGACGACAGTGACTTGCGCGTGGCCCGGCTGCAGAGGTGGGGCTACTCTGGCCGGGGGTGGGATGGGCAGAGTGGGTGCAGGCACGTGGATTCGGTGACCCTCAAAGCATCTTCACTCTTTTCCTGTCTCCCTCTGACTATCCTCCCCACCGCTCCAGCAAAGAATATCCTGTGATCTCCAAAAGCATCATGAGGCAGAGGCTCGTCTCCACCCAGCTCTCGGCCAAGCCTGACGTCAGCCCCTTGCATGGCGCCCACCAAGCACTCCAGCATTACCAGTATGAGAACGGGGCTCACATGCAATTTGCTGCGGCTGAGCCACAGGACCTTCCCCTCAACACCTTCCCAGCCCAGAGGGACTCCAGCCTCTTCTATCACTGCCTGAAAAGACGAGGTAGCTCTCTCCTGGTCTAGAAGCCCTAGAGGGTCAGAGGAGGGAGAGCAGGGGGAAAGCTCTTCTAACATTTCCCACTATATGAGCATGCATGGGTGCACACCAGTGGGCGCACATACACACACACACACACACACACACACAAATCTGGTTACTTGTGTGGCCTGGAGAAGAAGCCTGAAGGGTTAGTGACCATGGCCAGGCTCAGTGCAGGGATGATGGCGCTTGCTTTTTATGCAGCCTTTAGAATTCTCACAGACAGCATGTGGCCTTGGTGTCCCCAGACATTGGTACCCACCCCAGTTCCAGGTGTTGCCTTGCAGTCACTGCTTTGAGAACCTTCACGGGTGACGCACAACAGACAATCAGCTGGACTCTGCCTCTAAGTGTGGGAGGGTGCTGCATGTCACAGGGCAGGGGTTTTTGGATGGGGCTGTCATTTATCAAAGCAGCCTCAATCCTAAAACAGGGATAACCTAGAGTCGTGATTACAGGCTGTCCACCTCACCACACCATTATCTGCAAAGGCTTCCTGAGAGTGAAAATGAGCTAGTGGACGAGGGTTGGGGACCAGGATGGCAGGCACCAGAGCTGTCTGTGCTGGCCTCTGTGTGAAGAGGACGAGCACTGAGCTGGGAGCCAGACCACCTGTGCTCTGGTACCAGGTCTTGATTTCTTCATCTATAAAGCAGGGCCGATTAGTGCTATTACACCAGAAGACTTCACAGGGTCACTGAAATTCGCTTGGGGATGAGTTTTGGGGAGTTTTGCTTGCAATTCAGAATGTTCTCTCAGCCCAGCTCCTAGGAACCAGCCAGGCAGAGCTCGGAGTAGCCCCTACACCAGTCCCCTTAGAGCTACCTACAGAGACCAGGGGCTGCCAAACGGTGGCCCTTGGACCACATTTGATCTGCTGCTTGTTTTTGTCTCAGCATGTGAGCCAGACAAAATGGCTTTACATTTTTTTAATAGTTGAAAAAATAAAAAGAAGATTATTCCATGATATGTGAACATTATATGAAATTCAAATTTTAGTGTCCATAAATAAGGTTTTCTTGGAACGCAGCCATACACATTTATTTACCCACTGTCTATGGCTGCTTTCATGTGCTGACAGCAGAGTGGGGTACAGTAAGTCCTCACTAAACGTTGTTGATAGGTTCTGTGACTTCAAGCAAAACGATGTGTAATGAAACCAATGTAGGCTGATTGATATAAACAAGAGTTAGGTTCCTACAGCGTATTTCTCATCACAAAAGCCTCACCAAACTTCTACATAAAGACCCAAAGACACTTCAGTATTAAACATTGAAATAAAGTGAGCTATACTTATATTTAAGAAAGATAAATAAAAACAAGTAAGATAATTCTTTTCCAACCCATTATTCCAGTTCAGGGTCTCAGGTGGCCAGAGCCTATCCCGGCAGCTCAGGGCACAAGGTGGGATCCCACCCAGGACAGGACGCCCTTCCATCACAGGGCACACTCACGCACACCCCACGCTCACTCAGACCGGGACAGTTAGAAACGCCAATTCCCTAAGGTGCACTTCTTTAAGATGAGGGAGGAAACCAGAGAACCCAGAGAAAACCCACACAGACATGGGGAGAACATGCAAACTTCACCCAGACAGTTTCCTTGGCCTAGAATCAATTTTTTTTCCTCATCAGCGTTATAATGAAATGCTATAGAATGAAACGTTATTCAAGGACCTACTGTAGTTGCAAAAGAGACTATATGGCCCTCAAACCCTGAAATATTTACTGTCTGGCCCTTTGCAGAAAACATTGGCTCACTCCTGACCTAGAGCGACTGGGCCACTTCCCCAATTCAAGAGCATAGTGCTCTTGAGAGAAAGGAGGAATTTGGAGAGAAGATGCAGAGAAGGGATGAGTGAGGGATGAAATGAGACAGCGGGGTAAGGGGGGCAAGTTCTCCTCATGGAGGTAGAAGCCTCCACATCGGGCAGAGTGGAGAGGTGAGGGCAGGCCTTCAGGCTGGGCCCAGTCCTCCAGGCCATCCGCCCTGTGTACACACAGCTCCCAGAATGAATCCCCAGAGAAAACAGGAGGCGGGAGGCCAACAGAAGCCACTGGACACGTGTTCATAAGTTTGGTGAGTGGGCTGCCGCCCACGTCCTGGGGTCTGGGCCATCCCTGGATCTCAGGGCGTGGGTGGGCCCTCACTGCTGAGGAGGTTGAGACACATCTACATGGTCTGGGGCAGCTGAGGTTATCTTTCCCCAAACAGACTATTGGTTTAGGCTTAAAAGTACAAGTCATCTTTTACTTATTAGCAGCCTCTGTTTCTTAATTTTATAAACACCATTATATTGGAAATCTGTGTAATAACAATTTGATGGGACTTCTTTGAACACACGTAGGGTTTACTTCCTCTTCTAAAAGCAACAGGAATGTGCCTGCAAGTAGCTTTGGCTTGCTGAGAATTGAGGCAGAAGGGCTGTGGCTTTAATTTTCTGGTAATACAGACAGATATAGCCTTTGGGCCAGGTTTGGCCTGGCAGTTGTCTCCACTTTCCTTGGCTAGGGTGGGCCTAGCCTAAGAATGCCAGCACACATTAAGGCCTTTTACCATGCCCAAGAGTCAGGGTGGCAAAGGATCAAAGCTGTGTGTCTCCTGGCGAAACACACCACTCAGTGGCCAGTGATGTCGTGTCTCCTGTGGCCTGTGAGAAAGGTCCACACTCTTACCATTTCTTGGCTGCTGCTACCTTAGAAAAGCTGTAGCTGATTAAAATGGGGCTGGGAGCGTCATGGCAACATGGGGCAAGGGCGGCACTGAATGACAAAGGTAGGCTGTCCGGGCAGGGAGCAGGGGTGGTGGAAATGGCTTTCCCTGAAGGTTTCTTTGTCTTCCAGCAGACAGTGTCCGCCACCTGGACTTACCCTGCAAGCGATCCTACCTAGAAGCTCCCTCTGCTGTGGGGGAGGATCATTATTTCCGTTCTCCCCCTCCCTACGACCAACAGATGCTGAGCCCCTCCTACTGCAATGAGGTGACCCCAAGAGAAGCCTGTATGTACTCAGGGTCGGGGCCCGAGATTGCCGGGGTGTCTGGGGTGGACGAATTGCCCCCGCCCCCACTGAGCTGTAACATGTGGACGTCAGTCTCACCGTACACGAGCTACAGCGTTCAGACCATGGAGACTGTGCCTTACCAGTCCTTCCCCACGCACTTCACCGCCACCACTATGATGCCTCGGCTGCCTACGATCTCCGCTCAGAGTTCCCAGCCACCGGGAAACACCCACTTCAGTGTCTACAATCAGCTCTCACAGTCTCAGGTCCGAGAGCGGGGGCCCACGGCCTCCTTCTCGAGGGAGCGTGGCCTCCCTGCAGTGTGTGAGAGGAAGCCGCCCTCTCCACACCTGAATGCTGCCAATGAGTTCCTCTACTCTCAGAGCTTCTCCTTGTCCCGGGAAGCCTCCTTACAGTATCATTCAGGAATGGGGACTGTGGAGAACTGGACTGATGGATGACTCCCAGGTCTCCTGGACAGCCCCAGGACCATGTTAACCCAGTATTAACCTCTGTGGGTGGCCTGCATTACCAAGAAACACAGGAAGGTATTTTAAAGGGTGTGTGTGTGTGTGTGTGTGTGTGTGTGTGTGTGTGT